ATAGGGAAGAAGGCCGGAGGTAAAGACAACCTAAGGAAGTGGTACATTATAAGTTATTAAACAAGTACCGAACTTAATGCGAAATAGGATATTTTAAACAGTTCGCAGAATTAGCTGTGCTCGAATTTCAAAAAAAAAAAAAAAACACATGTTTTAAAATAGCCTACATTCAGCACTTTTGCCATAATGCGAAATGAATGCAACGAGATCATACAGTACACGCTTCTCCTTTATCACAGAGGTGTCGATAAAAGGCGTCAAATCGAGGTCATGTACCGGGAAAGTCACCATTGTTCTCACCTGAAATTTTCACAACAAAAAATCATTGGCAACGCGCACGGGGCGGGCTTGTGCGATCATGCGTTTTTGCAGTATTTCGTACTGTAATAAGATCACTCGAAATTCCGCAAGCTAGAAACCTCTTATAACATACTGGTCCTCGAATTTCGAGAAGTTAATTATCCATGCTATACTTGGACGGGGAACATTCCCTTGAAATCCCAGATTCCCACCTTTCTCAGTTCCCGAGTTACCCAAATTCCAGCCAAAAAATTTCACGAGGCCGTACGTGGCAACCACGCATGACGAGAGGCTGAATTTGATAAATTTAAGCTGTAGATTATATCATGCTATTTGCTTTCATAACAAAAAATTATATCATGCCACAATAATTTTAACAATAATAATAGTTTTATTAATTTTACAAATTTTCTAATTTTCTCATTATCATTTTCTATTTTCCTTTTTGGTTCTTTTTTCATCCCTTGTTAATATACCTTTTTATTCTATTTTTTCAAATATTATCGTGATCCAGAATTGGTAACATTTGGAACAAAAAGATGGCAGATAACAGTGGTATTTCGAAATAACTAAAGCTTTGCCAAGTTTTTTTCCGGGAGAACCGCTAAGATGGTAATCCCTCCGGATTGCTAGCAAACTGGACCATCAAGTGATGTAGCCACTGGTCCAAACAACTGGAAAAGTTGTCAGGCGCCATGTGTCGACCATTGGTGAATCCAGGGGAGGGAGGCAATGGGTCTTTCGCCTTCCCCTCTTCCCCCTTCTTCCTCCAGCGGCACAAGTAGCAGAGCTAAAAGTGAAAAGCCCCACTTCCTTTTTTCTCCCCTCTCTCCCCTCCCCCTTGGTCGCTGGCGCTAGGAGCGATGAGCCGGGGGTAGGGGAGTGAGGAGACGACGGGTAGAGAGGGGAAGAGGGAAATCGCCCAAATCGTGCCCTCCCCTCCTCCCCCGCCTTTATAGGAAACCGTTTTGAATTCGCCTATTATGCCACCTGGATGTTGCTGAAATATATTTACATGCCAAATATAACAGTACCAGACTTTTTCAACCAAGGCTAAATGTCTCAGTTTTTATCCATTTTTGAGCAAATTCACCTTCTCAAATGCCTTTAATCACATCGATTACTTTTTACCCAAAAACATCGTTTTTAGGGCTATCTTGGCCAAAAAATTGATGACCAAAAGAACGACGGACAACAACATATTTCACATAAAGAACTCTGCTACTGTGTATCAAAACGAAAAAAAGAAAAAAATCAAACCTTAGTAGAGTAAGACATTTCGTGTCCGAAACGCTTCAGATGTATACATAAAATTTCTGGACAGCTGATAATTTTGCAAATTTTTACACCATTTCGTAGTCTGAAATTAAAAATAACCTGCATAATACATGACGCTTTATTCCTAAAAAGAACAGCTACAATTCGTCAGGGGAAAAAATTTCTTTCTCTGCGCTTCGTGCTAATGGCATGGATATTGCGCAATATTATGTAATACTATCCTTATCCTAAAGGTTGAAAGTTCGAATCTGTCAATGGAATAACCAAATCCCTCCAAAATTCGTTTCATTCCGATTATGCCAGAAATCAAAATACTATATATATAGCGGATACCAGGAGTCAAAATTTCCACCAATTTATTTCTAAGCAATGCTCAAAACAGCTCTTCCGGTGGATGGCTGATTTTGGTATATATTAAAAAATCGGGATAGTCCCGAGTGCTCCCATCTTTTTTAGGCAAAAAATACGAAGGGGCTTCATTTTGTTATGCGTCCTGCGCTGTGCAATAGCTGTACAAAACGCATATTGTCACGGAGTTGTCTGTGCGTATGTATGTATGTATGTGTGTGTGTGTGTGTGTGTATGCCCTCCTTTCCCTCCCGCCCCAGGAAGCCGTCCTGGATCCGCTTATGGGTAAAAATTGAAATTCTCAAGTACGAATCTGAGTAGAATTAATTCTTACTTGCAACACTTCTCACACGAATACATATTTTCGCCACGAAGGTGATCCGGTGAAAAAAACGCCGTAAGCGCGTCATTCAATGAGATCAAATCGCCGAACAGATAACGATATGCCGCGTAAAATAAACCTCCGCCAAACCACCAAGACCACTGCCACGCCCAGCTGCCGTCAGAAACTTTCGCAGACTAAAAATACATCACTGTGAAAAAAAAAAAAAAAAAAACAAAACAAAAGCTTTAAGTTGCCCTTACGTGAGTACCATGCATAGCTTGGGGCTGAATTTGAAATGTTTCAGTTGTACTTGGATAGGGGACATTGCTCCAAAATTCCAGCTTTCTAGCTTTCCTGGTACCCGACTGGGAAATTTCGTAAAATAAGCAAAGCTCCCTCTGATTCACAAGTGAGGCGCGGCGCATCCTGCCGCTCAGCTGCACAACGTCGGCGCCAGGCTTGTTTTATTAGCTACACGTGGCGCACTCGGCCTCTAAGATTTTCTTCAAATTATCAAAATATTTGGTACGACTTCCCTGTACCCATCTTTTTTCCTTAGTTTCTTTTTGTCTCTCAAATTTGTTGGCAAAAACCGAGTAGTGGAAGGTAACGTTACCCGCAAACTGGAGGCTGAAGGCTCGAATTCGCCAGTGAGAAGACGACTGTAATATCTAGGTTAACCCTGGAAGCCTAAGTGGCGAAGGCGCAGTAGAATACAGAAAGAAAGAACAGTATGAGAAAAGAAGGTAAGAGTGAGATAAGACGTTTCGGTCCGTTAAGTCATATATGTCTTAACTCAACACCGCGCGACAGGACCTCGCCGGTAAGCAAACTGATAGTGGTTTCGACTCTCTGGCATATGCCCAATCTTTGTCTGGCGTTGAATGAACAAAATACTCCTTGCCAATTCGTTTATTCGACGCTAAACTAATACTTGGCATTATGCCAGAGAGTCGAAACCATTATCAGTTTGTTTGTAAGCAATCCTCGAAAGAGGTATCATCGGAAACCTTGCCATCAAATCGGTGCTACTGGAGCGTAATATAACTTAGGGCTAATTCTGAGTGTTACGCCTCTCATATACATTGGTTTGTGAATGAGATGTCTCATTTCTGATTCGTTTTTTAATGCCCTGCAGCTTCTATGGGTCGAAAAGCTACATTTAATGCCAGAATACTTTTTAGCCTGTTTTTAGAGTATTTATTGCGAACTTTCCTAAACACTTTTCCTGCTTTCTATGCGTTTTTTGCAGCTATGCAATGCAGAAAACGCATATTGACGAGAGGTTGTCTGTGTGTGCGCTGGGCCTCCGTACCAATTTTTATGCGTTTTTTGCAGCTATGCAATGCAAAAAACGCATATTGACGAGAGGTTGTCTG